AAATTAAAAAGTTTTCTAAATGTCACTTGAAATATTCCTTAAATTAGCTACTTATCCCAACTATCACAAATATATTCTTCTCAGCACGGAAAATCTTGTGCTGAAGTGAACTTCTCCCGAAGCAGTGGAATACTGGGGCGTGTAAAAGACCTTTGTAATAGCCTACTTGCAAAATAAATTAATTTAAATTGAAAGATAAATTATGTAGGTTTTTTCAACGCAAAAGTGCACGCGATCAAACACTGTCATCAAAACATAGAACCTACCTAAACACAATTCGATTTTTATTAATCATCAAATTTTACGTTACAGCGTTGTATGCGTTTTAATTGGGTCATAACTAGTTAATAAAACAATGAAATTGGATTGCACCATAAATGTTGGAAAGTTAAAAACGATAACATACAATCTAGTTCATTCAATCTTCCTAACTCTACCTACATATTATTATTTTGCAAATACTGACACAAAAGTAGGTAGTTAATTACTTGCAAATGCTTGAAATTTTTGACATATACTACATAATTCATACTTTATGTAAGAATTCGGAATTTTATTGAAACTCATTATGACAATCCTTCACGAAAGAAAGTGTTTAACTAAACTTGCAAAATAAAAAGCGTTATCCACTTAGGCAAAGAGGTTTGAGCATATATATGCGTGCTGCTAATTTAACTGAAACATGGATAAAATAAAAAGATATTATCATCGATCCGATCCCAAGGTCCTGTAGCGGTTCGATACTGTGTCGCCGGGTTCAATTGCGACTCTATTTCCTGAGCAACACGACACCAGCGTCGGACTGGCCATACAGTCGGGGTGGCATTTGCCAGCCGGGCCCCAGCCTGCGCGGGCCCCCACGGCCTGGGTTGCGGGGCATGCGGCAACCGTAGCACAGGGGGCCCGCGCAGCGTGGCCCCTGTGCTACGGTTGCCCGCGTCATGTCTCGGAAACTATGCGTCGTACAAAAAAATTGTACAGTCATAATTTGTAGAAAATTGCTTTGCCTACAAATACATATGTTNACACGTAATGTGTAAACTTTTCTCTAGAATTGCTGACAAAATTTCGCTTGGGTATAAAATAATCCCAGTGTCTTCGCTGACTAATAGAACGACACTATTGGGATTATCTAGGGATTAAATGCTGGCAATCTTTTAATCTTTTAATGTGGCAAAAGTACCTAATCAGAAGGAAACCATACATTTAAAGTAACGACTTCACGATTAATTCATAAACCTGTAATAGCTTAGATTCATAGTACCTACCTAAGTAGTTATGTTTCTAAGTATCTATTCAAATTAGGTCAAACGACGTAAATACAATACGATAGTTCGCATCGTTGGAGGAGAACCTACTCGTACGTCTTGCTAAAACATAAAGGGCTTTAATAGCTATTCTCATATTCATGGTGCGTTAAGACGACGTGATTAAGGCCGCTCGCTTGTTCGAATCGTAAACGCGTACAATACAAATTATACATAAACCGCCTACGAAATGAAGATAACGATCTAACTCTCAGCCTCTTTGCAAAACCCTACCTTTACTTATTTTTTAGACATTAAATAATTGCTTTAACGCACGTACTTATGTAACCTACATAATAAAACGTACGCAACATCAAACTCTACATAAAATAATACGAAAAAAATTCATAAAATTAACGAATGCCTGTAAAAAAAAACCAAATTTTCAGATAGTAAGTTTCAATACCGACTTGTTTTGTTTCTATTTTACTTACGAGTATATTGGAAACTTAGCATATCGATCATTATTTTGTAATTGATATTACCTATTAAGTACCTAATTAACATAAATTGGTTACTTGTCTACAGGCACACGTATTATATTAGATTTTCCCGAAATTCCAGACAAATCAATTCGAACTACCTAATTATTTAGGTGCTAATCAACTTACTAATTTAGCACGAATAAATCATTGAGTAGGTAACTTTCTACCTACAGGAATCATTTACCTAACTACTTAATTCCTTAGACATTTTCCGCGCCACTTTTTTTGGCCTAAAATAGAATTTCTACTTACATAAAAGCTCTTAATAAGGTAACGAGTGGGCGATGGTTTGTTGTTTAACTAACTCGGTAAGCATTAGTGTTCTGTAATTGAACAAAGCGCCATGTGGGTCACGCCGAAAGTGGCTCGGCCCTTGTGAATATTTCGACATTCGGCAAAGTGCCGCATTAACTAAGGCTGCCTTAGTGGGAAAACTGTCACCCTTATTTGTCCAGACCCGAACACTTGTGGCAAATGGCATAAAGGAAATTTAACTAAAGTAGGTCAACGGTCCTTTGTATTAACTTAAATCCGTCTTTTTGTTGTAAGTAGTATAAAATCGTTTCATTGTAAGTACCTACTAGGTACTCGTAAGTCAATAAATGCTCTACCTATCCATCTTAGTTGATGTGTTTTCAATTTAATTTTAGGTAATAACGTCTTACACAAAGTGACTAGTTATTTTCGCAATAAATTCAAGACTAGGTAGTACCTAGTAGGTACTATACTATCCTTTTCTCAAACTACTCTTTAAACTCCCTTCAAAGTCCCATAACAACTTATAAATGTGCTGAAAACGTTCTGTAATCCTGAAATCACATTCCTGCATAGATTGGTTAGATGCATTCTACAGCCTTGGCCAAAAGTATTGAGCACCCCCTAAATACTGCTTATACATGATAACTATAAAAGATACTCAAAGATATTTGATAAAAACCTTTCTTTGACAGGTTTTGAAACATAAACTCACGGCACAACGTGCAATAAAACACGTTTCGAGATGTTTAGCTATGATATTGTAGTATTGTTAGTCTTTGAAAAATCATAAAAAAACTTCTTCTGACCTCGCTGCTGAGTTATCAGCTGAAATTAATACGCCAATTTCTGCAAGAACAACTCGCAGAAGACTCCAAGAAGCTGGGCTTAAGGGCTGTACAGCCAGAAAGAAGCCATGGCTCTCAGTAAAGACCAAAACAGCTCGTTACGAGTAGGCTTTAAAATACCAAACTTTTACCGAGTAAGATTGGAAAAATATTGTGTGGTCAGATGAATCAAACTTTGAGGTAAGTTAGCCAATATCATGTANAGCAGACGGGGGCGCCTTCCGTCGTGGGGCCCTGGGCACGTGCCCAAAGTGCCCAGTGGGAAAGAGGGCCCTGTGTAAACATATTTGTAGGCAAAACAATTTGCTACAAATTATGACATAGCGATTTTTTGTAAGACGCTTAAAAAAGTGTTTTCACCCCTTTTTTCAAGATGGCGGTTGGGGGACAAGGGTGGCGACCCCAAAAACTTGAGGATAAGCTTCTATTGACCACATTGACCCACACATGTCCCAAAAATAAAATTTCGTTCTCTAATAAATGCAATACTCGGAAAATGATGGGAATTTTATTTTGCTTTTTTTATGTAAATTATTACAGTGTTTAATTCTCACAATTTCATTCACGCAAGTGACTTGTGAGAGACGATTTTCAGCATTAAAACGCATAAAACGAGACTTCGTTCTCTACCTCTACTTAATCTGTGTTCTCTACTGGGGCAAGAACTGTTAGATTCGTTAATTATACAGTGTGAGTCACGATAAAGTGTACATATGAAATTAGGTGAAACTAGACCTATTTTTATCGACAAAAAAGAGGTCAAATTTTTTTTGAGATTTTTATTTAATTTTTTATATATTTTTTTTTCTTAAAATTACTTATTGTAAAGAAAACGTAATAACTTTTAAACTAAGAGGTATATCCTGATAAAATAAAAACAGTAATAATGCTAAATAACAGACTATAGATACTAAAAAAATACTAAGAAAATGCCAACAAATAATAAAAATTGATACTTTTTGAAAAAATCTGCTTATAAATTCGTGTTTTTTTGGTTTTCTCCAAAAAATGCCCGTATAACAGGTGGTTTTTATTGCTTTATATTATTCTCTATCGTATTACCTTTGTAAAACCAAAAATCGCATGTCTCTATCCCTATCACAACATTTTCTATGATAGTTTGAACAAAGGCCTACCACAACATTATTCTCCGCTACAGGTAGGGACAATTTTAATTTTAACTAAAACGCTTATTTTACTTCGAAATCTTTTGTTTTTATTTGAAATCTAACTTGTCTTTATCAAAATTACAAATCTAGAGCACACTGGTCTTTGACGTATTATTTTTTCGAGTGAATGACGTTTGATTTCAATTAATTTCAATATTTTAATGTCGGGAAATAAGTGATTGGATTATTATTTTACCTGTGAAATGTGATTCCTTAATTTTTGTTTGTTCGAACAGAACGGTTTTTACACAATTTCATCACACAAGACATGTCGTATTCGTGTTGTTTTTTCGCTGCTTAAATATGTCAACTGTGTGAAGTTTGCTCTCGAAGTGGTGTAACAGGGTGTGAATGTGTGCGTGCCGGCCTGTACGTACAGGCAAGCTGGTGTATCCTAATGTCACAGTATTTTGTTGATGAGACTCCGTCCGACTTTTTTTATAGGTCCATGGTCCAGACCCGAACACTTGTGGCAAATGGCATAAAGGAAATTTAACTAAAGTAGGTCAACGGTCCTTTGTATTAACTTAAATCCGTCTTTTTGTTGTAAGTACTTAGTATAAAATCGTTTCATTATAGGTAAGTACTTGGTACTCGTAAATCAATAAATGCTCTACCATCCATCTTATTTGTATTTTTTTATCTTAGCTTTTTTAGGTAATAACGTCTTACACAAAATGAATACATAGCTACTTTCGCAGTAAATTCAAGACTAGGTAGGTAGGTACTATACTATCCTTTTCTCAAACTACTTCGAAGTCCCAGAACAACTTAAAAATGTGCTAAACACGTCCTGCAATTCGGAAATCACATTCCTGCATAGATACTAATGCCTGCTGTACCTATTACATATCAGAAATGCTGCTATGCTAATGCTTCTACATTTGGTTAACTTTGTTCTATATTTATCCTGACCTTCTTCGTGCTATTTTCCAGAGACGGCGTCAGCCCAGCAGAAGCAGCAGCGAGCCTCCCCGCCAGCCCGGGCGCGACGGGCGGCAAGAAGAAGGCGGCGGGCGCCAACGAGGTGCGCGAGCGCGCCGCCGCCGTGCGCACGCGCCGCCTCATGAAGGAGCTCAAGGAGATCCAGCGGTTGCAGGACAGCCGGCCTGAACCTATATTCACAGTGAGTTCAAATTGAAAACTAAAGAAGCCACACTGGATGCAGTCTGCATGCGGTAAGGCTTTACTTTGACCTGACCGCATCCAGTGTGACAAATCCTCTGCTGCGTTTACACTGCGCGGAAATTAGCCAAGTCAAGTTAAAAAAACAGTGGGGTGGGTGAAAAATGAATGAATTTCATCCCCACTCATCTGTTTTTTTGACTTGACTCGGCTAATTTCCGCATAGTGTAAAAGCAGCACTTGAATGAACTCCCGTCTCCTGTGCATCTTAGGTTAGGCCTGCAATGCAGTGAGCTTACTGTGGTTTCTCACTAATTCTCCCTCTGGTCCTGCCTAACAGCTCTACCTTCCTGTGTGTGCACGCACCTACTCTACGTTAAGTCTAGCGGTAGTTACAGGTCTCTCACTCTATGCAGTCTAGCTGCACAGAATGAATAAAAAGTGTAGGTATAAGTAACTAGCGCAACTCGTGCTTACAAATAAGTGCAACTCATTTTCATTAGGTTCATTCTGTAGGTTAATTCATGATGACGTCACATATTATAAATAATGCTTTTATATTTCTTTTTACGTTACCACTGACGGACTTCACTAACACGCATAGTTATTTAACCGACAAATGACGTTTAATTTACAGGTGGAACTAGTAAACGACAACCTCTTCGAGTGGCACGTGCGCTTGCACCAGATCGACCCCGAGAGCGAGCTGGCCGGCGACCTGCGCGAGCTGCACATCCCGCATATCCTGCTGCACCTCATATTCCCGGAGAACTTCCCCTTCGCGCCGCCCTTCATGCGGGTCATCGAGCCCAGGATAGAGAAGGGCTTTGTCATGGAAGGTACGATGCACTTTTGTTTCTACTTTTTTTTATTTTCTGGCTTCATGCTTTTTGTAAAGTGCCAGGACTGCCAGAGTCAAGTTTTTTTTTTATTTTAATTTTATGGCGTGCGATTTGGACGTTTTTAGCCAGTGTCGAGTGAGATTAAACTTCGATCATGCACTTTCGTGTAACAATAGAGGTCGATTAACTCGTCTCAAAAGACTTTTCAAAGTCTAGTCTGCCGCAAAAAGAAAACGCAGCACTGTAAAGTTGAATAGACAACGTTTCGGTTTCGTGGTGTCCATTGTTAGATGCTAGAGCTTGGGAATCGGTTTATCTTTTGTTTGTAAGTGCATTAATGTTATCTTTACGAGGAAATAGCCGGATGTGTTTGTTCATTGACTTATCTCAAAATTCCTTGCCTACCTAATTAATATGTTTAATATTTGCCTATTAGTTTGACTTCATAATAATAGCAACAGCATAAGTAGCGTAATTTTAACTGGAGATTTATATTGGAGAAAAACACATTATCAAATATTTCTTTCATAACAGGAGGAGCAATCTGTATGGAACTGCTAACACCGCGAGGCTGGGCGTCCGCGTACACGGTAGAAGCAGTGGTGATGCAGTTCGCAGCGTCCGTTGTCAAGGGCCAGGGACGGGTTGCGCGGGCGCCGCCGCGGCCATCGCGCGAGTTCTCGCGGCGGCGCGCCGAGGAAGCCTTCCGGTCGCTCGTCAAAACGCACGACAAATACGGCTGGGTCACGCCGGCGCTGTCGGATGGTTGAGTCAAAGGTGGGCACTTTTTGCGGGTAGTTTTCAAAAGTCCCTAGAACATCGAACTTCTTCGTGCTTCGAACTTAACGTACTTACTCTAGTTATAAAACCAGATTAAGAGTGCATCTCAAACTAACTTTCGAATAACTTGAAAAAATCGAAATGCCTAAGATGTGAATCAAACCCACCTTCCCTGGGAACTGCTCGGCTCTGAGCTACATGACATCTTGGGAAATATTATGTATTTCATTTTATTCCATCCACTAAATAAATAAGAAATTGGTTATGAAACTTTTAATAAGTTAGCATCTGATGTAACTGTATATTTTTCTTGACTGCTTCAGAACAGTCATGTTTTTTAGGTGTATGTAAATATTAAACTTTGTTACTTTCTTTTCAGTTCGACGTGTTCAACTGAAATGCAGTATGGATCTCTTTTAGTTTTATTTTAGTCGTAATTACTTACTAGTGCAAATTTTGATAAATAATGCTCCGCTCTGTGTAATTAGTTCAATATTACAATTCGCATAAATGGATGGTAATTAATTAAGAGTGATTATTTGAATTGATAACTTTTAAAATGTATTTGTTTGTAGTTTTCCGACTGTGAGTGGGATGTTGCAATTTAGTTGATAGAAACAAAAAAGTCTAACATGAGTAGGTCTGTATGCCAAGTTTCAAGTTTGAAGCAATAGCACCCCATGATAATAAGATTTGAATGTTCTAACGTACAAATATGTATTTATAAATATTTCTTATATGCAACCATACAATAGCATGTAATATTTTTACAATGATATCACAGTTAGGACTTATTTTGAATACTCCTTTGATCGATTGGCTTCGTGTACCCAACGTATTTTTCTATCGGACATTAAACCTGGGACAAACTTTTCATGACGCTACCCACTACGCCACTGAGCAATGTAGGTAGGTACTCTCATCTTACTTTTCTGAGAGCCTTGTTTAATCAAAGTTAAGGTGTAGGTGACAAGGATCTCCCCTTTGAATCTTCTTTACTAATCTTGGTAGGTATTTCAGATACGATGTTATCACTATATCAAGCGTGTGTGCCAAAAAAATTGTGTAATGCTCAGTTATTATTTTAATATTCACCATAAATAACTTATTGTAAATAGAAACATTAATTTCCGAAATACGCTCAATACCAACATCAATATTAATACTTAATGTGTCTTTAATGTATAAAGAAAAATTCCGCCAATTTTAAGAGAAAACAAATGCTCTTTTTTGATGTTAATGGTTTACTAAAGCTAATTTCAAAATAAATAAGTATGTAATTAAATGTATACTTACAAAAATATCGTATTTAGATACGACAATACAAATCTGTTTCTACGTGTATAAATAAAAATATTTTAAACTTTTTAAAATTGAAGCTCCATATTTTTTTGCAGATTGAAGCTTACGATTGAAAGTAAATGTTTCCGTCCCAAAGTCATTTAATCATTTTTGATATTATAGATAAATTTAGTAGTATTTTAAAGTTCAACCAAACAATTTACTGTAAAAGCAGATTGAAAATTCGTATTTTAAACTCCTTTTTTAATGAACCACCTGAATCATTCATACTTGATAACACATGCTATAAATTGCATGCTTTATTATCTGAATAATTAGTAGTAAAGTCAAATTATTACCTAACTACAGTGTGTTTCCATGAGTAGAAATCGCTCAAATTTGTGGATATTTTTCTTAAAATGTAAAATTAAAGGCTTGTGGTATTATAAAAGTGTAAAGTAAATATAACATTTTATGTATAGACTTACTTTAGGAAATGGATGTTGTTAATTTGTTTGGTGAACCAAAGATGTTTATTTTGTATAAGTAAAATTCATCCAGTGCAAGATATGAATTTATAAGTGGATTCTATGTACAACGTTATTATGGGTGTAATAAATAAATTACCTGCAATGATCTATGGTGTTTTTATTTGAATAGGTGCACACGGCCACACTGTTAACTATCCATCTCCGTTTTTGCTCTCGCTCTAATCAAATTGTGATTCTTTGCGATAGAACGAGATGACAGGGGCATGACATGACTGGCAATGGGCAGATAACACTGTTGCCGATAGTACATTGATATCCTATGCACAGATTGAAAGCTCATTTTTAACAAAAATCGAGAAAGAGTTAAACTACACTACACCTCACTACAGTTCAGGTAGACCTAACCACTCTTTCCCTTAGGGCCCTATCTCATTAGGACAGCATGGTGGCGCGCTTTTTTGTATGGAGTTTTGACGGATTCGATTTTCGATTCGATCAAAAAGTGCGTTTTGTCTAGGAGGGCAGGTCAGCCCCCCTAGACAAAACGCACTTTTTGATCGAATCGCAAATCGAATCCGTCAAAACTCCATACAAAAAAGGGGCTTTTCGACCACTTTTCGACTGGTTTGCGATTATAATTTGCACTTTGTCTAGACCCACAGGCGTCCACCATAGTGTCAAGATAATTAGAGCTCTAAGTTATGATGATATTTGATATAAAATAATGATTATGATGGTATATCCTGCCTGGTGGCATGGTGGATCTTGTTTTGCTCCTACCTACCTCCTCCTCCTCGTAGCGTCAGTCGCCGTACATACGAACAAAAGACAAGGAACGGACTTTTTGCTTTAGCTTTAGCTTTAACAAATAAGATATCAACGCGAACGGTATAAGGGGGATGAAATTGTACTATTACCAGAAAAATGTGTAGTCTAAAAAGTGTCCAACAGGCAGCATACATATCAAATCTCAAGCTATAAGGCCCAGGTAAATTAAATTATTTCATCTCCAAAACATATAGCTTTAGAAGTAGGGTTAACCCTTAATTTGATTTTGTTCACTGGGATACAACACCTAACACGTCACATAATACCTACACAGACACAATTTTTTTATCTCTATCGTATGTTTATCAATATTATGTTATATGTTATGTATGTATTGTATAAGTATTTGGTTTATGTAAAAAGTTATTTTATTCCTTTTATGCATGAAATGCAATTTTGCAACAGCAAGATTGAACATGCATGAATGAGGCATTTAAAGGCTCCATAAGAGCATTTGACGATTTGTAAGAACTAATTCAATTAGTGTATCCAAATAAAGATAATTTTCATTTTGAACTTTTCTTAAAGAAACTTACCCAGATAGGCATAATTTCAGACAGCTAGAAATGCTAGAATAAACCTAGGCCTAATCACATTCATAACTGTCAATAGGGTAGGAGAAATATTTGATTAAAACAATAGAATCAAATCATTATTTTCATGTTGACTTTTTACAAGTATGATATTGAAAAATAATAGTAAGTATTATAAATATGAGAAGCAAATTATCACCAGACAGATCACTCTCCTCCTCTCAACGCTAAAACCAAATGAAGAACTGAACCACCCTGGACTTTGTAGTCTTGTGCAGTCTTTTCATCGTTCCTGCAACAAAAATGAGCATTTTATATCACAATGCACAGTACACATCAATTAATTAAAGTTATACCTATAGGTACCTACTTTCATTTAAAGTTTGTTCCTGTACAAGTTAACAAACTTGTCTATCAAAAAGATCAGATCCTGATCTTGTCCTTTCATCTGTAACTTTTTCATGGATTATAAATTGGACATTTTTAGCTAAGTAAAGGTAGATTTGTCATTAAAATAAATGATCAACATCAACAAGTAACACTCTCGTAATAATCCATGACTCAGAACCATGATCAGTCTCCTACGCATCAACCGGATTATTCATTTATTGATTACATGATGAAAAAATAATAAACAAAGGCATGGAAGACCAAGTGACTTACATTTGTTTTCCTGAGAATATAAGACGTTGTTGTTGGGGTGGAATGCCTTCTTTTTCTTCAACTCTTTCTTTAATTCTTTCCACTTTATCTGTGGGCTCTATGTCTATTTCAATCTCCTTCCCGGTAAGAGTCTGCAAAACACGAGGCCATAGAATTTACAAAATGCTTTTACATAAAATTTCAAATGCTAATAACGATTCTTACCTTCACTTTGATCAACATTTTAAATTGAGTTTAAAAAGAACTGCCTGTTTAATACTTATTTATTATAATCTGCAGTAAACTATTTTGCAGATATCGGTAAAAATTGTTAGGAAATGCAGTAAGTAATTTTTCGGCTATCTCGACTCTCATCTGTGATCTCGACAATGACATTTACTTTTGATTTGACGTAATTGACAGGTGAACAGACTGCCCCACAGAACACAGTACCACACAGTACTATTTGCGTTTAGTTAATGTAAAATCATTACTTTTGTTCATACTGTGTGCGGTTACCTTAAGTGTAAAGTCACAAATGTTGTCACAAATTGACACTAACCAAAGCCGTAAAATATCTTTAAAAAAAAACAAATTGACAACTGAACTGACATTATTGACCATTATTGACATTGACATAAGACCTGGTGTTTGTTTTGTTGTGTGGAATCACATTCACAGTGGAATTGTGCCACATTTCTTTTTATAATTACACAACATAATTTGCTCTAAATATGGCTAAAGTGTCCCAGATATTTTCCAACATAGAAAAAATTACACTTGAAGGTAAGAAATGCTTTGCTTTATAACCTCCAAAATTATCAATTTTTGCTGAGTTTTTCTTAAATATTCACATGTTTATTATTACAGTTATTTAATTTTGATAGTCTTATGCTGCACATAGTTTTACTGAGTTTATATTTGTTATCTCCACCAAACAATAAAATGGAAGTTTGAAACTAGGATATATTCTAATGGGTTTATTATTTATTAAATTTGCGTGCATCATTTACTATTCAGTAACTATATCTTATGTATTAACATAAGATATAATTATGTAGATTTTATTTTAATGTTCTAAGTTAAGAATTTATGAAATTAACATATATTTAAGTACTACCTGTACTTTACTTTTTTCTGTATTGTGTCTTTTACTGTGTCAATAAACCTTTTCTATTCTATTCTACCTTGACTAAATAATTATTTATAAATAACAATTAAGTAGATTTATATTTTTTTATATTTCTAGATGGTCAAAAACAATTTATGTCGTCCTATGTTATAGAAGATACTGTAAATGAGATTGATCCTTATAACAATTGCTACAAAACGCAAAAAGCTTTCCTGACCAAAATAATAAAAGAAATAGATGATCTCTCTACTGAAATCAATAATGATCCCACAATTTTAATAAGTGTCAAGAATCAAAAACTGCTAAGAACTTGTTATCAACTAATAACATCAATAGGTTTTTCCCAATGTTTGATACCTGGAGTAGGTATAAATCTTTCAAAAAGATGTTCTACTGCTAAAGTATTGACTTCTGTAAAATTCTCAGATGAACAAAAATATGAAATGCTCACTGAATGCACAGACTTCTTCACAAGAAGTTATACCATTCCAGTACTGAAAAAAATTATATTGACACTCCATTTATCAGATTACTTAGCAGCCCTTATACAATTGTCATTTGCCCCCCTGAAAAAGCCTGGGAGTTATGGTGATTTTGTCATGACCCAAGAATTATATGAGAAACTTTCAAAAGATAGAGAAAAGTATATGCAGACCTATGAATACTTAGTTGCAAATAGTTTCCAACCAATTCTAATGAAGGAGCTTTTAGTGCTCCAAAGTGTCAGGGAACCATCACCACCAATGTTTGTGAAAAGAGTAGTTGCAAAGGAAATGAGCAGGAGATTGTTAGCACCTGGGGGGCTTCTAAGCTTAATCAGATGTTTCATGGAGACCTATGACATTGACACTGGATTTGACTGGAAGAAAATTGATATGATTTGCAAGATTGTGTCAACAAAACATGGAACAGATTCAAATGTTGCTTATTTAAATAACATTTGCACTCAACTTTCACAAATACTTACTTTCAACAACACTCATTACTTAACTACAGCAATAGCCTGTATTTTAAGCGTTAATGAAAAGTTTCCTGAAACAGAACCTGTAAAAGAGTTGATCAAAGAAGTTTTCCATGTCTTTGTTTACAATGACTTGGTTTCTAAATCAAACCTACCTGGTACCATGTTGCTAACACCACAAGAAGTTGACCATAAGGTTAACATTTTAAATGCCTGTCTCTGTGCATCGAAAATTGATTGTCCTCCATCTCTTGTAATGCCTAATTTTCATGTTTTGTTTTTACTTGGAATGAATTGTTCTAAAAACGAAGAATTGAAAATCAAGCTGAAAGATATTTTGCTCAAATGTTTCGAACTTTTTAATAAAGAACAAATTGTGATGTTATTTAAAGACATCTTGTTTGGAAAAGACAAATCGAAATTACCCTTTAAGATTGAGGAATATGATGCAGGGATAGCCATAAAGTGTATTTCAACTGATATTGACTACCCAAAAGAAGATGCTTTCCAGTACTTTTTGAATTTACTGAAACTGTCCCCTGATAATAATTTCGTTCAAACTATTTTCGAAATATCTTTATCGGCACTTATTGATCTTGATGCCAAGAGAAAAAGAGTAGGAACTAAAGGCGCAATATCATCGGAAGGTGAACCAACAATTTTTAATGAAATCGATGAACAATATATTACGGTGCTACAGCTCCTATCAGAATTATCAACATCGCCCAAGATACTCTCTTCTGTGAACAACAACCCATCAACAGTACTCAATTTTGTTGAACACTTCATTATGAATAACCAAAAGCATTCCCATGAAGAATGTGTTACAATTGCCTTAGTATTGTTAAACACAATATTATCAAACTCTAAACAAACAGGGAATTTGAAAAAGAGATTTGAAAAATTGATACCTTTGCTAAAATCAATCTCAGCAGATGATTCTTCTATGAACACTGTACTATGTAAAGAAGCTTTATCTTTGATTATGTCTGAAAAGACGAGTCAGGATCAAGCTACGGAATTCCAAAAAGCTATTTCGGACGCATTTGACAGTCTACTGCCTGTTAGAGCTCATGGAATGATAGCCTTGACTAAACTAATTGATAGCAAAGACCTAGAAACAATATCGAAAAAGCACTACGTTTTCTGTTTGTTCCAGGTAAGCTTTGATTAAGTTCTTGTGTATGTATGTTATCTATGCAGTTCCTTATAAGAAACTAATTCCCTGTATATTTTTCAGGAATATCTAAAAGACCCTGATTCGTATATCTATTTGGCGGCTGTTAATGGTATAGCTTCCCTTGGCACATACTGCCCTGAAGATGTTTTACATGTTCTGTGTAAAGAATTTCTCGAGATATCAATAAATGACCAGGATGTTGCAACAAAAACTGATCAAAATAAAATTGCTGAGCTTAGAATGAAAATTGGCGATATTATCGTAAAGGTCACAAGAAGACTTGGTAAGTGGAATATGCAGACTAGTTAATGCTAATGGACCAACCTTTTTCTGAACTATTTTCAAACAACTTTTTTGTTTATTGCAGGTGAATTGGCTATAGTCCATAAGACCATCCTGTTGAACACAGTGTTGTGTGCATGCAGAGATGAAGATCCCCTAATAAGAACCTCTGCATTATCTAATTTAGCAGAAATTTGTCTTGTGCTTCATTACAAAATCGGCTCTATCATTTATGAGGTAAGGACTTATGTTACTTGTTTATTTATTATTATTGAATTATTAACTAATAATAACGCAATTGCCATTTATCTTTATTCATTTGTTTAATTGTTTACAGGTACTCTTATGTATTTGGTCCATCCTAGAAACGGATAAGGCAATAGAGTGCAGAAGGGCGGCTGTGATGGTCATATCGAGTCTTATCAAAGGTTTGGGCAAAGAAGTCTTAATACAGCTGAAAGATAATTTACTCCCAATCTACAGAACTTTAAAAGACTTGTACAACAACAATGACGAAGACTCAGTTCTGCGTCTTCACGCACAGATAGCTATAGAGGAATTAAATTATATTGTCAAAGATTTTATATTTCCTGACCTAAAGATGGAAAAAGAAATATTTGTTTTAGACAAACCCAATGAGATATTCAAATAAAATACGGTAATATACTTTAACATATATTTCATTTTAATCACACATTTTACACCCTAAAATAATTATGAATAAACATCCATACTAATAAAAATATCGACTTACAAACTAAATAATTTAAAGAATCATAAAATTATTTTGTTATTAACATATGATTAAATGTTTATTTGAACATTTCTATTAGTATGGTGTTACAAGTCCATCGTATGGCAATTATAGCATTATTACGTAAATAAGTGTCATTGTGCAAAAATGTACTGGCCACATGCATCGCTAAGTAACCTATTTTTTTAAACTTTCAATAGACCGCACTCCAATGTGTATTCACTTGCCATCAAATTAACACGCGATTAATCCACGTGACCGATTGTGAATTTTGTGCACGGTATCATACCGTAAAATTAATGCGATATAACGTGATACCTCGTTAAAGAACGAGTCATTCACGCTTCTGAGGTATTGTCACACTCATTTGTTTTCTTCACTGGATCTTCCGACTTCTCGGATAGAGTTATTGAATATACTGAGCTTTGGTCTGAGAACCTATCTCGGTTCCGCCTTCCGAAAATACTGCTTCGGGAAAGGGACGATGCTGTTGCAATAGATATGTTGTCCCGATCGGCTTGCGGCACCATCTTCCAAATCAGTAGAGCAACGCCGCCAAATGCAGCTACCACCAAAAACATCACTAGTGTTATTTCTCCAAAGACACCTGAAAATACAAAAATATAAATTCCTCTTATATCAAGTCAAGTTAGTAGAGAGTTAAGAAGTCATACAAACTTGGCTGGGTATCCTCTTTCCGTGCTTCAAGCCTTGCAGGCTGTAGTTCGTTATAATCTAAATCCTGCGTGTCGTATGGCTCGACAGATCCCAAATGAGGCTTCACCTGATGGAGGACATCTCCAGGGTTAGCTTTAGGTAAGTTTATTCCGGCTCTGACAGTCAAAGTCTCTGGCTTATAAGTGCACAGGACTAGGAATCTGAAGCAAAAGGATAAAACTTCGCAGAGTTAATAAAACAAAGAGCAGTTGTAATTAGTTGGTATCAGAACGAAATAAACCTTCTGAATTCATCAAATTGATCCCCCGTCAGTAAGTAGTTCCCTGAAACTTCAGGGTGCTTCGAATTAAATTTTGAGTATACTCAAAGAAGATGATTTGTTGTGATGACTTTAAAGTTACCTTCTGGTGCTGTGCGTGAGTATCGGCAGATTCTCTTGGACGATGACGTAAGTAGCAACAGTCGTGTCGTTGACTTCGGAGCCACACTCGTCGTGGTGTATGCGGAGGATATAGGCATCCTGCGCACTATTGGGGTTGCCCTGCAGCGAGCAGCGCTCGGGCCCGCCATCCGCGGCCTCTACTGCGATGCGCCCACCGAAGTTGGGTCCTGTCGAGACTTCGACTTCGCTGGCGTGAGGCAGACACTGCGTGGCTCGAGCTGAAACTGGAAGTTTTCAAGGTTAGTGCTGCTGAAATAATTTGCGTCTATTGAGATTTCAGATAAATTATCCAGCTTTTCCGAGAATTTGGTCAGCCCACCATGGCAGTTTTTGGAAGCTTGGGTAGACCCAAAGCTATTCATACTCGTTTATTGCGTTTGCATCTGTTATAATATGTATCTGTTCCATAATAAAAGTGCGTTAAGAAGTTTAAAAGACTCAGGAAAATCTTCAGGAAGTTGTGTACCAACTGTAGTGTAATACTTACATCCTTTAGTGGGCACTATAATAATTTTGGAGCCGATGGACTGCGGATCAGCTAGGTCTCTAGCGTCGCGGCGCACCGGGCGCACCTCAAAGGAGTAGGTGGTAGCCATGCGCAGGCCCGTGATGCGAGCGCTGTAGGTGCGCGCGCGCCGCGGCGCTGGCGGCTGGCCTGTCGACGCCTCTGAGACAGGTCGCGAAGACTTGTCCTCTTCTAAGTTGTCTACTGCCTGCAAATGTTAAAGTCAGTCAAATGTTACTCAATCCTCGGTAAACCTAAGCTATTTTCATTACACTTGTTCAACCGAATTTCCAACTGTATCACAGCCAACAGGGCATAGAAAAGCTTTGCAATAATGACAGTTCAAAAGTTTATAATTAATACGAGTCGAGTGCCACCGTAATCACATTTAAGTAGACATTCTTATAGATACCGGATTTTAAAAACCTGGATGTATGCAAGCGATAAGATGCAGATGTTATAACGACATCCAATTAGAGCAACCTACACTACATGGCTGGAACATTACAGTGCGCTTACGCATGGCTGTTCGGAAGGAAACATTTATCTTGATCAGAGCACGCTTGATGGATGAGCACAGCGCCAACGTAACTGCATTCATGTTTAGTCGCCATCTCCCTGCCACGCCTCGCTCGTAGTAAACGCCGCGATTATTTCCCGTTTCCAAGTGCGAACTCATTATGTGACTCTCAGACATGTCTCTGTATGTTACAAGTGCAATGCCAGATACTTTAACAACAATGTTTTATGCTAGTGTCCTATTTAAAATTCATTATGCATTACATGTATTGCAGAAAACTAGTTCTACGAAGGGACGATTATATTCTAACTTCTTATTGCTTCTACCTTCATATCATTATACTTAATCACTATCATTAGGAATAATATCGGGTTGAACCATGTAAGTTCCATTAAACTTATTATCCTTTTAGTTAGGTACATCATTAAGTCAGAGCGCTTCACGAGCAATAGAAATCATGTCTAAATATGGAAAAATTACAGATTAATAATTTACTCGACTAAAAAATATTAATTAAGCTCTGATGAGATTGGATTCGTCATTTTTCGAATGGCAGTCGACAAACCTAGTTAGGTACTTTTAAATGAAGTGCTTATACTCGTAATGTGTTTGTAACTTCATTTTTACAAAAGTTTGACATTATTTTCGAGATGATCTCTAGTCTTTTATGGTTTATAATAGCAATATCATTACCTTTGTCCTACACCGGTACTGGCCCCACGCTTGCAGCTCGCAGTAGTGGACTTGGAAGGCCAGCAGCTTGGGGCTGGACTCGTCGTTCTTGCCGTACTCCCAGCGCAGGCGCACGTCCCGGAAGTCTGGCTCGCCGATCAGGTGCAGCACCTCTAACAAACGAGACCGTAACATTAGACGTATCTCAGATAAAGCGGTTGTCCCAGTAACTAAATACAGAGTGAGGCGATATAGATAGGCCTCCGAGAAAAGTAATTACGATAAACTAGAATCTTCAAAGGCTAATTTCAGGTTAAATTAAGTAATGATTTGGTAGTTAGGATAGCTGCGTCCAGGTTTGTCCAGAGTAATACCATCAGGACGATAGGCAGGTGGTGAGGAGTGGCAATCCGCAAACTCAGGCGACTGATCTTAGCTAAGACTAAAGGCTGGGTTACACCATCTAACTTTGACAAACTTCAAAAATCTGTCAAACTCCATACAAAAAACACCGGATAACGTTATAGTTACGGTCAAAGTTAGGTGGTGCAACTGAGCCTAAGGGTTTAAGGTCAAAAATAAGATGATGGATTCCACATTTATGAATATTATTGGCTCAGTTAAACTTTGCTAGGCTAACGGTACATTATGGCCGCCTGGCATATAGGTCGAGGCGGCTTGCGGTGCAGCAGGATGTACGATCGTGTTCGAACACCCTGTATAGCGGTTAATTATTACACTGGCCCGCCCTCTGTTTCCTTGGGCTAGACCTAGACGAGGACACGCCTGGGTGCGTATGCGTAAGCAGTGCAGCGGTCCGGCCCGTGCCATTAACCCAATGACTTGTTCACTGAGCCGATCGCGTTATTGATAACTATAGCGCATAACTGAAACCAGATCCCTTTGCCTTATAGATCTTCTCAGATCAAGTGTCGTTGATATCTCATAAGAGGGTGAGGATTCCTTGCTGGTCAAAGAAATCGTAACGTAAATAAACTTCATATCGAGATTCGAGACATGTATCATTTTTAAATAGAAAACAAAAAACTGCCAATAATTACTACTATTTTGAGGACTTAAGTGTTTTTAATAGAAGAAAATATTTTTATTTTCTTCTTGCTTAGCGCATCCATGGCTCTACAGCCTTACCACTTGTACCCTCAGGCATAGATTACTGAATGTTTACCTCAGGCTCCAACAACCTACCCGGCACTCGTTTGACAGTAACTAATACCCCTTAACTTCAATGAAGTGCTCGACTACACAAAGTTGCTACAATATTTTACAGCTAATCTGTGTTTAACAATCGATGCTAAACACAAGTAACTAGGAAACTTACAGTTAGATACTTGAACAGTAAAAGCATTGTTGTTAGCCATAATATTTAGAGCCAGCAATGTATTTCAGAACAAGAGATCTCGTAGGGAAAAGCATTTCTAATTCTCAAGTCCCAAAAATATCAGCCAGTGTCAATAAAATTTAGTTGGTTGAAAATAGTGGTGGTGTCCATAATTACAAGTACAACGTATTTTTTATAACTGGTACGGATTTGGCATATTTGCCTCTATCATTTCGTGAATGTGGCACGCTGGTGCATTCTCGTAAATTACAGTGATGACAGTGCAAGTTTGCACCAATTTCGTGGTCTGTTCGAAAGTTGTTTGGGTCTAACAATTCGAAAGNGTTAGGATAGCTGCGTCCAGGTTTGTCCAGAGTAATACCATCAGGACGATAGGCAGGTGGTGAGGAGTGGCAATCCGCAAACTCAGGCGACTGATCTTAGCTAAGACTAAAGGCTGGGTTACACCATCTAACTTTGTCAAACTTCAAAAATCTGTCAAACTCCATACAAATAACACCGGATAACGTTATAGTTACGGTCAAAGTTAGGTGGTGCAACTGAGCCGAAGGGTTTAAGGTCAAAAATAAGATGATTGATTCCACATTTATGAATATTATTGGCTCAGTTAAACTTTGCTAGGCTAACGGTACATTATGGCCGCCTGGCATATAGGTCGAGGCGGCTTGCGGTGCAGCAGGATGTACGATCGTGTTCGAACACCCTGTATAGCGGTTAATTATTACACTGGCCCGCCCTCTGTTTCCTTGGGCTAGACCTAGACGAGGACACGCCTGGGTGCGTATGCGTAAGCAGTGCAGCGGTCCGGCCCGTGCCATTAACCCAATGACTTGTTCACTGAGCCGATCGCGTTGTTATTGATAACTATAGCGCATAACTGAAACCAGATCCCTTTGCCTTATAGATCTTCTCAGATCAAGTGTCGTTGATATCTCATAAGAGGGTGAGGATTCCTTGCTGGTCAAAGAAATCGTAACGTAAATAAACTTCATATCGAGATTCGAGACATGTATCATTTTTAAATAGAAAACAAAAAACTGCCAATAATTACTACTATTTTGAGGACTTAAGTGTTTTTAATAGAAGAAAATATTTTTATTTTCTTCTTGCTTAGCGCATCCATGGCTCTACAGCCTTACCACTTGTACCCTCAGGCATAGATTACTGAATGTTTACCTCAGGCTCCAACAACCTACCCGGCACTCGTTTGACAGTAACTAATACCCCTTAACTTCAATGAAGTGCTCGACTACACAAAGTTGCTACAATATTTTACAGCTAATCTGTGTTTAACAATCGATGCTAAACACAAGTAACTAGGAAACTTACAGTTAGATACTTGAACAGTAAAAGCATTGTTGTTAGCCATAATATTTAGAGCCAGCAATGTATTTCAGAACAAGAGATCTCGTAGGGAAAAGCATTTCTAATTCTCAAGTCCCAAAAATATCAGCCAGTGTCAATAAAATTTAGTTGGTTGAAAATAGTGGTGGTGTCCATAATTACAAGTACAACGTATTTTTTATAACTGGTACGGATTTGGCATATTTGCCTCTATCATTTCGTGAATGTGGCACGCTGGTGCATTCTCGTAAATTACAGTGATGACAGTGCAAGTTTGCACCAATTTCGTGGTCTGTTCGAAAGTTGTTTGGGTCTAACAATTCGAAAGGCTTTGTGTATTTGGGAATGAATGGCTTCAACGCATTTCCGCGATTCAATCGTGTTCTACGGATTTCTCTGCGTTTAAGCTTTCCTGTTCTACGTGAAAACAATCACATTTCCAATATTACCATGAAAACCTTCAATTTAAAATAATCTGTATCATTTTGGCGGTAGACCTATCTATACGGATGTAACCTTGAGCAGTGGCCTTCTAAATGTTATTTGATGCTTATTACAGGCTTTCGTAATGTTCAAATTAGGTACTTATATTCACTAATGAACGAGTTCCTATCAGTAGGATAGGTACCTATTGTTATTTTTTATAGCACGTGCTAACTCTCATCATAATCATCAACACAGAATATAATGGACGTAACATTCCCCTTCTCTCAGACCATTGTTGATTTTCACTGGTTGTTCCTAAGTTACCATTTTCTCATAAAACAATATTTTATTTACCTACTTTTTATTATCAGATTTTTCCTTCCCAAGACTTTCCAAAAGTTGTGATCAAAATACTTCCATTTGCTTCATCAACTGCTTAGGTACATCTGAAAATTTATTGAACTCGTTGATAGTTGTGCAAAGCCCAAATACATATACCTAAGCATTAGTTTTGTAACAATGCATTGGCGACGTTAGACATAATAATATCGCGTTCATCACAGCGATCACCATGACGGATGCGACGCATGACCCGCCGACTGGACCATAACGACCATTGTCGACATCCATTCACCTACTGCTATAGGTTACTATAATAATGTACATACCACCTATACCAGTGAGTCAGTACCAGTATGTTTTACACGAATTGTAAAACTGAAGGTCTCCTTTAATTTCTGAAACGATTTCACGTAGAGATGATTGATCCAATATCACTAGGGTTTCTGATTTCTCGACTTATTTTTTTTCTCGAGTTTCGAGAATTCTCGAGGCCAAAGTCTCGAGTTTTCTCGGGTCTCGAATCTTTTAATAAAAAACTGCTGAAATCGGTTGAAATTTAATAAAAACACGGGGTTTTTTTTAATCTAATATACCTACTTTTATGCACAACAATCAATATTAGAATTTAGTACCGCTTATTTTGGTAAGGAAACAAACAAAAAATAAAATCTTCTTTCATATTTAATATTTACTAATAATCATAACAAAAGTCATTAAGTCGCGTGTATTTTAAGAATAAATAACAATAAAAATCTGGAGCTACAAATGAATCACTTGTTTTCTAAATAACACAAGTCCAAATAGCAAATATACGATAAATAGTTTTTTTTATGAAAAAAAAAAACTTTTTCATAAATTTTTAAATTTGTCATAGATAACGACTTGAATAAACTTTACGAGGAGGCACGAGTACCTAACCTAACGTCTGTTAGGTAAGGTAACCTTCTACTTAACAAATTTTTCAGTCTTTAAATCAGTCAGAGTTAAACATACAAATATTATACTCGTTGGTGAACATTATTACTTAGTTTCGATTGAGATCATTACTTGCAAATCAAATCAGTTAAAAAAGGAAAGACTAGGCCAGTCTAAAAGCAACGTTGACCTATTAAATAATTAAAAACTTACTTTTGTCTAAGAAAATAAGCTTTCAAGAATATAAAATCGGAACTCGAGAATTCTCGAGCTCCGGTAATTTTTTTCTCGTCTCGAATGAAGCCAAATTTCTCGAGTTTTCTCGAGTTCGAGAAAGCTCGAGCAGAAACCCTAAATATCACTGATATAACGTAGTGATCAGTGTTTGCTCTGTCGTGCAAATAGATATTCTTCCAGCTACTTGACGTTCTTTCTTTATGATAGATCTAATGATGTTTTATGCCTTAATAAAATGTATTTATTTCAGTTAAATAATTGGCTTTTTCATTATAAATAAACAATGCGTTATTGTGCATCCAGTTAGCCACTGGCGCCTGTCGCATTCAAAATCAAAATCAAAATCAAAAAATATTTATTCAGTTTAGACCACAAGTGGCACTTATGAACGNTATTCAGATGAATACTCATTGTTCTGTGTAATGTTGTTATTATTTACTTTCATAATACATATAATAAAATTCATTCATAGTCAATTATACGCATGGGTACGCGCACGTCCGCGAGTCGCTGATTGTTTTACGCCGCGACGACGTGGCGTGGCGCGGG